GGATGACGAAGGTGCCTTGGATGACGAAGGTGGCCAGGATGATGAAGGTGCCTTGGATGACGAAGGTGCCTTGACTGACGTAGGTGCCTTGGGAGACGAAGATGGCCGGGACGACGAAGTTGTCTTGGATGAGTTTCTCGTAAGATAATGGCATCTTCTGTTCTGGAACCTTCGATCAGGAATTCTCGCAAGATGTCCTCCGGTGTCGATGCCGGAAACGATCAAGAACCCGAGGCCTGGTCCGTCCAAGCAATCGAGGATGGTCACAGAATCGGCAATGGTTTCCCGGCACCGATTCGTTCGACGCAGGTTGTGAGCGTCTACGAGGAGATGGGTTGGATTGGGTTGGGTGCATCGTCGATAATGCATATTGTGTTTGTTATATGTTGAGTGTGTTTGTGGCAGGCCAATCCGGCTTGTTGAAAAGATTGAAAAGATAAGAAACAAATAGTATAAATCATGTTACATTGGATTCCACTCCGGTCTGGGACCGCTGTTCTACAACTAGCGCGGAAAATCGGGACGAGAAAAATCGGGACGAGAAGCACTCGCACACGCACTCGTATTGTACGGTACAGTTTTCGGTGCGAGAATAAGACTATCGATTTCTAACAGGTTATGAGTACATAAAACGCGCCAGTTTTTTGCTAACTTTGCTTGCTTGTTAACTCAAGCACAAGGACCAATCAGAATTAGAGAATCGATCGGTATGCACTGTTCTGCCTTCCTTTTTTCTCTTGTCGTACCTCAAGAGAAGGTACGTATCTTTTCTACCGTATCATGTGTGACAGACACATACCTTGCAAGATTTTGACGCACTAGACTCGATTCTGGCTCCGCCTTTGGACTCCGTACCGTAATACGTACTGTACGGTATGTCTGTAGGTACGAGTACGATGCCAAAAAACAATTCCCGTATCGTATTAACCATAAGTGCCCGATCCCGGAGGCGCAGTGGTCCGATACGGCACTTACTCTATGCGTGTCGTACGATGGACGACTGTGAAATCGTGTCCATCATTGGTTTGTTGTGCGATGCCGTACGGTGCTGCCGTACGCTGCGTAGGAGTAG